AGTACCACGACCCCTTCTAAACCCAGCCTGGACTTCTGGTAGTTCTCTGTTGATGTGCTGTTCCAGTCGTTTTTGGATAATCTTTAGTAAAATCTTGCTTGCATGTGAAATCAGTGAGATTGCTCTGTAGTTTCCACATTCTGTTGGGTCACCCATTCTATTAGTGTTCCATTTCATCCATATTTAAAAAAATTTGGATCTGTTCTGATGTTGCTTCATTGACTTGACCAAACTGGGTTGAACTTGTTCAATGTACTGTATTTCTAACATTAGAACCCAGTAATTTTTCTAAGAAAACTTCCATCTTCCTCCCTTTCTTTTTTATATGAAGACATGATTACTGTAAACATGACGATCCTTAGATTATTAAGAGCAACGACAAATAATTTTTTTCTCTAAATTAACTCAGATGGATACCTGCTCTCAGGTTTAGACACATAAAAGTTGATTGACTTAAGCAGCATATTTTGGGAATCACCCACTAAAACTTGGGTCTTAAATTTATTTCTGATCCCTATGTCTTTTTTTCCTGGATTGTCCCTGTCCCTGTCCCTGTTCATTCAGCTGTTTTGAAGGTAGAATGAAATGGTAATTATAGAACCACCTTTGAAAAGGGCTTTTAATAAACTAACCATTAGAAATTACTAGGAATCAAAGTAGTATACCTACTTAAAAACAAAACGAATATAACATGTTTGAACATCTTGTTTTAAATTTAAAATTTTCATGATTTTTACCATCATAAAATAAAATTCTGACACCTTTTCTTGACACCTTTAAGTGTCTTTGTTTGTTTTCATAATTTATCACCACCAAACTCTAGTTTTATCCAGATCTACATAATGGAATTGATTTGTTTAAACTTTGATTGTATAAAGGCCATAGGTTTCTAAAGAATGTTTTCCTAATTTAGCATTAGATAAAAGACTAATCAAACCACTTTTCAAAATAAAAATAAAAACTAATAAATAAACCAAACAGTTGTGCCAGAAAAAACCCTCATTGTCTCATTGTACTTTTATATAAAAATAGATAATAGGAAAAAAAGTTTACTCAAAAATTGAAAATAAAGTTCCACAGAGAAGGAAATTTATCCAATCTTTTTGGTATTTTTTATTCAGATTTGGAATTTCCCAGTGACTATCCATCGGGTTGTCTTCTTGGCTGTGTGGATCTAAGTGATTGTTTGTCCCAGAAGCAATTTAAGGAGCAGGTGAGTAAGGACACTGCTCTTGAACAGATGCTTGATTTATTACTACAGAAGTGTGACAGTATATCTGACCTGTAAATCCTTCTCTGTAGAATATCCTGGAGATAGCAAAGTGCTAATGATTTTGTATTTAAACATAAGAAGAGAGTCTTTCAATAAGGTACGACTTGGAAGAACGAAGACAAGGGCAGGAACAACAATAAAAAACCCCCAAACTAGTGATACTTTGATTTTTTTGCTGTATAGTTAATGCTTATGGATTTCTTTTATTAACAGCCCTTCCCAGATTCTTTATCCTTTTTTAAAACTTGACAGTTTTTGATGAAAAATCACCACTTGATTATTCTTTTAATCATTCTGATTTGAGTGGTGAATGGTAGGATCTGTTAACACTTATTCTGGAACATATGGTATAGGCCAGAGGACTTATGAGAAGCAGTTGTGTTTGAACTCTGGTCCCAAAGACTGTGCTACGTGTGGTGTATATGTACATAGTACATATTTTTATTTCTTTGGGTCCCTAAAACATTGTATTGACAAATATATATCTTTTTGAACAGCAGAGGGAGCTGAAGGACTTCCTTTTATTAAGAAAACTAAACTATTAAAACTGAAATACATAGCCTTTAAAAGTTTTAGGCTATTTGGGGTGGGGGTGGGATTGGGTTGGGTGCCGCGGGGTGGGAATTGTGTGCCAATGAAGGGGTTTTTCTTTTGCTTTTCAAGGAGAGGAGCGAAGGGGGGGGCGGGGAGAAAAGTGCAACAGTGAATGAATGGAATTCCGAAATCTCTGTAGATGTTCATTGAAATGAAAAATAAAAAAAATAATTTATTAAATTTTTAAAAAATCAAATTGAAGACTGCTTTTTCAATCTTATTGAAGAATGGAATTGGTATTTGTATTGGGATTTCATTGAACGTGTAAA